AGTACCCTAATAGGCGTACGCCAACAATCTCTTCAGTGTTTAATGTAGCGGTTTGATACTAATGGTAGTTTGGATATAAAAAACTCTATGGATGAAGAAAAAGAATTGGAAATTTTACTTCAGGTCAGTAGCCGTCATGCCTTATGTCCATGCATCCCAATCTATCGCAAAACTAGAAATCAAAATATCATCCCTTCCATTTGAAACTACAGCAACAACTTCTTGATCGTGATTTTGAACAAGGGTAGCTTCTGCAAACTTGTTGTCTAAAATAATGTTTTCCGATCAAGCTATATTTAGCAGTAATGGTGCAGTTAACAATTAATCCATTAGGTAAGGGAAGTGCAATCATAAAGCTATGTGTGTGGTGTGGAATAAAAGACCTTTTTCGCGAACCTGGATATTTAATCTTTTTGCAGAATGATTTACCTCAACTTCATCAAGAAGTTAATAACATTGATCATTAATCTTTACTCACAGAAATGGATCTGTAGAGGTGGATTCATTGGATGGCTTTCTCAATCATGTTAACCACCAGATTCGTTTTGTGGGGATATGTTGAAGATCGTGCTCAAGTGACTTTCCCCATAACATCAGAAGTCTTGAAAAATAGGATTCCGAACGAGTGGAGCAGAATGGTACCAATTCATATTTATTGCAACATAATAGTAATTAAAATAACATAAGTTAATTTGTAGTAATAGGTTTTAAATATTGTTTATTTTTTCTGTGAATTTAAAATTTGGACTTTATTTTTACCAAAATTGCTAATATCTGTCTGTTGCTTTATATACAGCACTAACAAAGTTCTTTCTCCTCTTCATTTTTTAATCTTAACAGACTAATACTTTTGTCATAGCCAACTAATATTATAGCAATAATTTTAGACAGAAAAAAGGAAAATATTAATATGAATATATAATATCTTTCAAAAAAAAAAACTAATACATACTTACCATTTTCGCATGACTTTTGATTTGTAAACAAGTGACAGGAATAAGTCAAATTTTAATAAGAGCTGAAGTGTATATTAATGCAATAATGGAAAAATAGCTGAGAAGGGCTCTTCGATAAATTGGTAGCGTGTTTCAAGACGCGACAACAGTGTAGCTAACGCCGAACCCGGAATTCAAATTCTCACGCAACCTCAAGTTTCTCTTTCCGATGCTTGGGGGTCAAGGTCCGACTAACACGTCCACTCAAGATCAACTCTGGGAACGTGAAATGTTCGATATATGGAAAATAATTTATCGAGAAGCGTCTTTGCCATATCGACCTGATATATTTTAATGAAAGATATGACACCAAACAATTTGGACGGCCCGGAAATGTCTCCTTGCATCAAGAAGCTGGTATATTTTTTCTTTAACTCATTCAACAGGCAGAAATATATTTGATGATCATTATGCCAAGCAAGATCATTAGGGCAATTAGTAATACGCTGACTGTTTGACATTGAAAAGACCATTTAAAAGTGGAACTAGAAAACCGGCGCCGTCGCCAGAACTTTAAAACATTTTAACCTGAGTAAATTTATTTGTAATTAGTTCTAAGTAGTAGTACTTAGGTGGGCATTAATTTCCGCTATGTTGTTTCAAGTTTTTTAAAGAACATAAACCAAGTATGATTCAATAAAATTGCCACATTTAAAGATCGATTTTTGAGTTGATTTTAATGGAGAGATCGGAATAATTGTTATTGCATCAACTTATTTTTTAGTATTAATATCCACATTTCACTGCACTTTTAAAAGAACTAAAAAACAGATATAAACGTAAATATTTTTTTGTAATGCCACAATAATATGCATACAGTTTCATCACTTGCTTCCTCAGTTACCATATAATATTATTGAATTCAAAAAATGTGGTACCTACCAGTAATCGTTAAGAACAACACAAAACAACAACAGAGGTGAATTTTTTCACTCTCAAAAAAAAGAAAATACAGCTTGTTTTATACAAAGTATTTATCACCATACTGAATGGAAGATATTTATTTGCATCATCAACAAGTACGTTTTTGTGTTGGCTGATAATCATACTTTGTGGAATTTGTTGTTTCTTTTCAGATTTTTACGTCCTTTTGATTTTGGCACTGTCCGTTTGAAGTAAAAAATGAAGCTCATAAAACTTGGAAATTAAGATTTTGTATTGAATTGTAATATGGCTTTTTCCTTACTGTTCTGAAAATTTTTCCATGTCGCTTTCGAGCGATTTGTCGTATTTTATGGCTTACAAGATTTTGCCGGAAGGTTTGCAGCATTTTTCGAATTTTGAATTAAAGCGTAGGATACGAAATAACACGGGAGAACATTTATAACACCAGATAAATTTCCAATATCCGGCATATACCACGGAAATATCTCAGAGGGTTAGGATCTTTCTCCAGCCAATTCGGACCCGTTCATCCAGCTCGGGTTTTATAAGCGTTCCAGCATCCGGCGTTCTTCCTATATACTTCCTCTTCCTATATCTGCCTCGTTCACATTGACCCAGTGAGCCGCTTACCTCTCTCCGCAACACTTTCTCTCCGCCGTTCTTATCTGCCAACCTGCTGTCGACGTTTATACGCACCAGAGATGCAACTTCCGAGGCAGGTTTCGTTTTTCACTTTATACGGTGACCGTGTCCTTGTTCGATGACCGTCCGCGATATACGGAGTCGCTTAAAAGTCACGAAAAACGATATTTTTCCACAATCGTTAGGAAAACTGATTAATAGTATATTTTCTACTACCGTCTGTTAAATATCCAATTACCCACCGATCTAGCGTGCGGGAAGCGTCACTTTACCTCGTCAGTTTCGTTTCCCATGAATCCGAGCCACTTCGGACATTTCCGGGATTTTATCGCACGGATTTGGGAGCAATCGGATCTTTTCTGAGATATTTCCGTCGCTTTGAATTTTGACGTTAGTCAATTCTGACGGTCATGTCAGTGCATGTATTCGTGTTGTTTTGCGAAAATGTACTCACAAACTAACGGTCGTAGAAAAAGCATAGTATGCAATACGTTCGGGAAACTTTTTAACTCACTCGTTCGGCTCGTGTCAAATAAACTCGTGTGTCAAATGCCGTTTACCGCACTTGTTGCATAATGGTATATTTATTTTTTGAGTACATACACTCAGAGGCTCAGATAGCAAATTAATTTATAAAATGCGGTTAAATTATTTTACTTTGGTTCAATATCTATATTATATCTACAAAATAAACAAAAGTTACGACATTTTTACAAAATAAAGTAGAGGTTATGATGGGACATGATATAGAGAACAACAATTTACGCTACTGTTTAAGCTAAAAAAAAACATACAACTTCTATTGAACATACTACAATGAAGGTGTAGGTAGGTATTTCATTGGCACCTAAAGGTTTTTTATTTTATAATTTAACTTTTTAAAATAGGTATCTTTAAGTAATGGGCGCGGTTCTTTTCTAAAATTTTAATGGAATTTAATTTTTCTCATATTTGTTATCCTGATAACTATTTAGGTAACTTTTACTTTTTGATTCTTGGGTATGCTAGGTAGCTGGTTAATTTTTTGCATAATCCAAAGTGTTTTAATTGACAACCATATCCGCAACTGAAGTATTGAGTAAAGATATTGAAAAATTTAAAAATCATTAATAATTTTAGCTGCGAGAACAATTGGACAGTGTAAATATTAACAGATGTATTTTAAAAACATTGTAATGTAAACAAATCGTAATTATTCTCTATCGAGGAAAATTCTTTCTCCACGGAAACGTTTTGTCGGTCCCCTTTCCCGCGTTGCCCCGAACGCCCCGAAACGATTTGGACAAATGCGGCCATCTCAAATCCGTGGGGTAAAATCCCGGAAATCTCCGAAGTGGCTCGGATTCGTGCGAAACGAAACTGACATGATAGTAGTGATAGTGACGCTTCCCGCACGCCAGATCGGTGTGTAATTAGGTATTTTATAGACGGAAGTAGAAAAAAATATTTTTTGCAAAAAAATAATTTACACCAATCATATGCTAGCATATTATTTTTACCAAAATATAATTATATATTTTTGTTATATATCTTATAGTGTTATAATATATATTCTTTATTATATTATGATATCATCGTATGGTTTTGTTTCGGTACTGGGTTTGCAGTTCGTGAGGAACGCAAAACTTTTCTGAAAATATGACAATTAAAACACAACTATCGAAAATATTTCCGTAATTATTTATTGCTCCGTTGGCCATCCCTACCGCAGTATAAAGTTCCTGTGGAGCGTTTCTAAAACAATGAAGATTATTCAGCCGTAGGAATTTCCCTAACGAAAAGATGCTGCAAACACAGTCGAGATTAAATTTTAATTTTCAATAAAAAACCGAAACTTTGGGTACTTTTAGTAATAGTCATAGAAGAGTTGAATTAGACTAGAAAAATAATAACATTAGTCAGCGAGATTGTGAATGACATTTTTCTAATTACCAATCGATCATAAAATTATTTGTTATAATATTTGTTGCGGTTTACACAACGGTACGTATTTTGGCATAAGATTCCCAAGCTTGTAGTTAAATAAAAACGAAAAATGCAATTCGTTGCTAGTGATTTTGGGTAGATATTCTTATCAAATTAATAACTAAACTTTACTAGTTTTTTTCAAAAAAGATTTAAAATGTAGCAACGTAGCGAAATTTTTGCCAGAACGGTACCATGCAAATCAACCCATCAATCTGACGAAAATGCCCATTTACAACCTCAATCATCGTTTTTCCTTCTACGAAAGTTTAAACGGTAAACAACTCGTTCTCGACCAACCCCGTATAATTAAATTCTCCGCCGTCAGCTTTCTTCTCGTTCACGACAGATCCTCATACTCGAAAACCAGTCTCCCGTAACCGGGTCACTGGGTAACCAAATCCGATTCATTGAACTTATAGAAAGAAAGAGAAGACAGGAGATACAAGGTGAGATCAATGAGAAATCGCCTGGAATCTAGGCCGCGTCTCATTAAAAGGCGGATCTTTCGACTCATTTTTTTTATTCAAGCACTTCTTTTTATTGAAACGTTCACAACTAGTAACAAACAACAAAATAAATAACATATGTAACAAATATTTTCTTTTTTTTTGCGAGTGATGGCGGCGAGCGGATGATCAGAATGAGTGACACTGAAGGAACAGAAATTCGAGTTTGCGAAATAATACGCCGAAACAACCAAGTTGGTAATATTTACAATAAATTTACGTTAGGTATTCTCTCGAGTTTTGGTACATTCGCGAAAAATGATTGCCTCTAATGACGATGGAAAATTCGTATTAACAAAATTTCAAGTTATGCACTGTTTTCCGTGCGTATAAGCAACCTATAAAAATATAGCATTTATTTCGCAAGAAATTGAAAATGGCTGTGATGATGAGAAATGGCGCTTATTAAGGTGTTGAAAATTAAAAGAGAAAATGATAGCGATGACGAATGACGGTTACTAAAAACTAAGTCATAATAAATAAGGTAATGGCCGAGAGATCCGCGAGGCTACCGCGTTTTATACGCCTGCCAAGCGCGGTAGGCCATTTCCGCCGCTTCTCTCTTCTTCCTTTTGTATTCGTGGCCGTGGCCCGCGTGGATCACGTGGTGGCCTGAAAACGATATCGGTTATCGATGGGACAGCGTGGCTCCGACAAATTTATTTCGATAATTGCCGTGCAACTTCATTAGCATACTAATGTTTCTGCTTAATTATACGGTGTTTTAAAAATGTAGGTTAAATCTACTAGGAATGTTAAATTGCTTAAGACCCGAGCCAGTTTTGCATCCTTAATAAAAATGGGGAAGATTTTTGTCTTTTTTGAATTTTTCGAGTTTCATTTTTGTTCTCGATGTCTAAAACATTTTATACAGGGTGTTATGGAATTTTGTGAAGAAAATTTAAGACCATATTGTAGATCTGAAAATATAAAAAACGTTCCTATACATAGGAGTTTGTAAATGCTTCGTTTTCGTGCGGTATTTAGCATTTAAATTGTCCCGTCTTTTATGGTTATTTTAAAGTTATTGAAAACTGATAAAGATCAGCTTTGGTACAAAAACATTTTTTCTAAAACGTCGCTGGGTCCAATTTGCAGAAAAGCTATACAACACTGGTCGGTCTAAAAATTCGTATCATTTTCTAAAAGGCAAATTAATGTTGTGTAAAAAATATATTTTTCGCTCTGACGTTCCGTTTCCGAAATTAACATTATAGTATTAAGCGTAAAATAAGCTAAGGAATCGTAATTACAAAACGGGAATCTAGTTTCAATTTTTTTTAAACATCACAATTTTTTGGCCAATTAAGACGAAAAGGAGGAAACATGAAATACCTAACGACTTGAATTTGGCGAACTATCATTAATTTTTTTGAGAGAATTCTTTTTTTTTTTATAATGATGCGTCGGAGCGGAAAAGCCCAAGAGACTTTTTGCGAATACTTTATCTGGGTTTCATATAGCTAAGGCAATGTTTAAATAAACCAGTATCATAAAGTTATTTTTTTCTCAAAAAGATGCACAAACAAATTTTTGTGAAGGAAAATGTAAGTTTAAGTGAAACATTTGATATTGTGATAAGTTTCGACTTATCACAATATCAAAAAGCGGTTCCGAGAAATTTCAAACCAACTAACATTTTATTTTATTATTATTATTATTATTTGATATGAACTTTTTGAAAAAATTTAGATGTTGAGTATGCCATTAAATTTTCTTCATAACGTTTTGTAACAGGTACTACGTAGGTTGCAGATTTGAATCTTCGACGATTTTCTCAGATTTTTTAACAAAACCCGAAAAAAAAATTGATATCCAATGATGAAAGTTTTCGAGGAGTACCGAAAAAGTCAAATTTCAAATTTTAGACACATCTGTTTTTCAGGATGTCTGGGATTTTCATAATGCATTGAAAGAAAGTAGTAATTAAATCCATATGTACCAATAATGCCCAAAAGATGAAAATCTCTCTTCTACAAAATACACTCGTTATTGTTCTAGTCAGTAATTAAACAGCATGTTGTTGTAAACACCAGTTCATTCTTGGTATTTAAATTATTTTCCTATAATTTTTGACACTTCTTTTATTCTTTTATTTTGTGTAAGTGAAAAACCTATTTGTCACGACAAAATCTACTTTTTCCCAATTTTTTCATTTTCCCGGAACCTACATCTATTCCGGTAATCCGCTTTCTACTTACCACCGTCGTGATCATCGTGATGAACCAGTTTCTTTAGACCAATGATAATGGATAGCATCAGAGCCAAGGCGGACACCATGAGTGCCTTCATTGCGAGAAGGCCCACCCCTCCGATACCTAACGCGGCCATCATCTTGCCCATCATGAGACCCATAAGCATGACTCCTCCCCCTCCGCCTCCTCCTCCGCCGCCTCCCTTACCACCCCCACCACCTCCACCTCCTCTAGGCGAACCTAAACGCGATAACAATATCCATAGTAATAACAAAATTTATTTATCAATATCAATATACGGTGTTTAAATAAAAATAATATATGCAATTGACAATAAGCCAAAATATCCGATAGTATAGACATTATTAGTTGATAAATAAGGCTCAAGAATGATCACCAAAAAAGTATTTCTTGTTTATGAAAATTAAACTCAATGATATACAATTGCAAAAAGACTGAATGGTAAAATTAAGCTTTTATAGTATGATATGCTATTACATAAGTAAAGTATTTTAGGGATATATTTGACCTAACTGGTCATAACATGATGCTGTTGAAAAATCTTTAAATGGTACTCACTTTCGTCGGGCTTCCCTTCAAACTCATCCACGGCGGTCTTGAAAGCCCTGCCGAAACCTTCACCTGGCATTAGTTCGGGCAGCTTTATCCTAACCTCGTGGCTCTCCAAGTAATTCTCCACCGCACCCAAAACTGTCCCGTCGTCCATGTTGGCTCTGGCGTCGTTTTCACTCCGCGTGTTAATAATGTGCACCCCATCTCCCAGCTTTAGATCCTCCGGCTGACTGTTTATGTACTGCCTCAGAATTTTCGAAAGTATGGTTAGTCCGTGCGAATTTTCGGCACCTGACGCCGATATCAAAATTAAAACACCCAACAGCACCAAGAACTTCATGCTCCTGCAGTGACACCCGTTACAATGTCTATTACGGCCGATAATCTACTACTTATATGAGGAGAAGTGCAAAAAAATGCAAAGCCACTTTTCTTTATTGATATTTAGTGGAGCATAAAAATTTTGCGGAAATAATACAAAATAAGTAATTAGATCGCGATTGGCGGCAGCATCTTATTTGACCTGGTTCGAGAGAGAACCATTAGACGGGATGGATTGTGCAGTCTCTCGTTTACAGGATGATGTTGCAAAATATCACCAGAAAAACGGTACTAGATTTACGACAGACGTATGACGCACGCGTCATTCTCACTTGGAAGTTAGCGGAAAAATATTTCATAAGAAATTGCAATTTTAGAGCCCTGCGACTATCACATATCTTAAGATCAGGCTTAATATCTCAAACAAATGATATTTAAAGCTAAAAATGAATCGTTAATTTGTCTATCGACATGTCTTGGCGTATACTCCAGCATATTCCAAGCGGAAGTGTAGGAGATTGATATCTGCGCAATGTTGCTGGAGAGGAACCAACTTGTGTTGAAAAAATTAACATATTTTCGAACATTCATTCAGCATTGAACTTACCAAAACATCATTATAGCATGGTAAGCACTTGTATCTTCCTCCATTGACTAAATTGTTCATAAACCTTTCCAAGCAAAGGTCTGACCAAAATATTATTTCTTCTCTCTCAACGTGAATATTAATTATTATTATTATTATAAATATTTCCAATCAATAAAGTGTAATCAACATGTTATTTGGTCTCTCTAGGGATGAATATTAATGAAACAAGTATCTTTGTGTGTCAGTCCCGAAACTGTCGACTAGTAAAACATAGTAAAATTTTTTCGAAAAAACTTAGGCAGGCTGTTGAACTTGAGGGTACGCTGCTTATAGAAGTCAATGTATAGAAGTATAGACTTATCTTGCGTTTTGTTTGCACTTTTTTGCCAAACATGCTGTTGGCTTCTTCAGAACGCTATCTGAAACTCAGAAGAAGAAGTCGTACTAAACTCCAACGCCAAAGCAAAACTATAATTATATATTATATATAAATTAAAGTAGACAATTAATAAAATATAAGAAAGCGACAAGTTTAAAATTCACTGTAAAAACATTAGTTAAGAAGATAGAAATGAAGGGTTTTCTAAGTTTTGAAGATTCAGATTCATTATTTTGTCCAACAGACAGTCAAAAATCTTAAAAATTAAACCATTATTATTCCTGAAGTTGTAATTTTGAAAATTTGCTATGAATGGTAGGTTATCTTTAGCACAGAAAAATTGCTATGAGTAAATTAAACAAACAAATGAATAATTCTGTGCTGAAGGAAAAGAGGAAGACAAGACTCGCGATGACCTGCATTAACCATTATCCGGATAGCTCTTTTTGGGAATATGAAAGATCTTTTGGCAGCGGACTACTATTCCGTAGGGCAGCATTGAATCATATCTTTAATATAGAGAAGCTGAATAACTTTTTAAGCAGTCTAAGTAGAAAATTGATGCTATAATGCTCATAACATAAGTAATCTACTAGAGTCGACCAGTTTGAGTTATCAGTCACAGTTACACCAAGTAGCATGACAGTTTATTTTATTGACAAAAGGTCTTCTCTACATTGTTATCGGAAATCTTTTCCATATCAACTAAAATTTCATAATCTGACGTAAAATTTTGGTAATCAGCGAAGTTTATTGTGGGCGTAACACCCAAGTCGATAAAAATAGTAAACAGCAAAATAGAATCTTGGATAATGCCTGCATTTATTTCTGCAACTTGTGAGAGTTTCCTTTCCACTTGATTGGCTGAGTTCGTTTAGAGAAGTATCAAGTTTAGAGTTGCTCTATTTACACTACGTCTAAAATGCTTTCCTAATAACAAATCATGAGAAACGCAATCAAAGGCTTTCGGAAAATCGTACAGATTTGAAGAACATCAAAATCACATTCCAATAAGATTTGAGACTTAGACACATTGGTGTCTTATTGGTGGTTTACGTTCTTAACCCGTTGGGTATCTAATCCATATCTTCTCGCCAAGAGAATTTATTTTTTTTTTGTTTATTGGCTGATTTCAAGGGACCAAAGAAAATGAGGTCATTGGGATATTGACACCTGGAGGACCAGCTAAGTTTTGGTTAGGTCGATAAATCTACCAACTGGCACGCGTGCCGTTTCATGGCGTATCTCACCCTGTAAGTTGTCTCGATATCGTGAAACTCGTTAAGAGTGCAAACTTTTTCTCGGTACCTGTTTATGTGGAGCGCGAACGGTCAAGAGAACAGGACGGATATCTCGCCTTTAACGCTTCTTGTGGGCAGTTTTTGCCGGATCAAAGAGAAACGCCCATTCGATGAATGCACCCGATGCAAGTCTCGCTTTACGCGTATTTACTACTCCGGGCTTATCTCGAAAGTGTTCCGTTTCACTTGCTTTGTTTTATTCCGCGAGTCAAGGTTGTTTTAGTAATCCGCGTTCTGCTAATGAAGCTGGCCGTTAATTAAGTAAATTGAATCTGACCGAAGACCGACCTAAAGAAAATAAAATATCCCAGCTATCGTTGAAATGACAAAATAAGTTACACCTCAAGACCGGTAGGCACGATACAATTCCTACATGTATTTTTATCAAAGTTAAAAATGTGCAAAGATGCAATTTTTTCGATATTTTTTAGTGTCATTTTTAACATCGTTTTAATTAATTGATCAAACTTTATGCGAAAATGTATTTACTAAGCAAATAAGCACTTGTGGGTGTATAAAGGAAATGTATAATCACTGGTTAGAGACTAAATTTTTATTTGCAATCACTGACAATATGCCAAAAACCACATCGGAATTCCTCATCCCAAGTTCAACAGTTCCATGTTAAACACTTTTCCCACGTCTTTCTGGCCGATATTAAATTTGGAATCCCATAGTGTCGAAAAAGAAAAGTTTGTAATTTTCGAGTTAGTTCTAATCACAAGCTCTCAGTTTTTCCAAGATCGAGCCCAGCATAATTTCCAGGGAATTTTCAATTTGCATCCTGCGTTGGGATCCGTCTGTGCTGAAAATTTTTCTCGTACATTCCCCATAATTGTGGCAAAAACTCTTTGAAAAACTCCACAACAAATCCGGCAAATAACTTCTTGTTTGGCGAAATTCAAAGTCTCGAGAGTTTAGGTAACTCATGAATCCTCACTTGCAAGTTTCATCTGTGGTCCAAACAAAAGTTTTCGGTGCCGTTCGATAACGATTTGAACCCGCACAAGAGGAATTCATACAATTTTATTTTTAGAAGTTCTTTTTTTAACTTCAGATACTAAATATTAACATAGATTGATCGTTCTAATTAAATGGCGATTAAAATTTGGGATACGAAACTTTCATCTGCACTATACTTGCGATGAAGGGATGAAGGTTTTGCCTAGGAGATTTTTCTTTTTCGAAACGCTAAGCAAAAATCACTTCGGAATCTCTAGCTCTAGGTTGTTCCAAAAACAAGCTCATCATATTTTATAGGTATTTAAATAGATTTAATTTAAGTGGGTATACAATACATCTTGATTACATTGAAGAATTAATCATAATTAAGGATACAAAATAACTAGTTCGTAAAATGTAAAAGAAAGGTGCGCGTAATATTCATAATAAAAAGTTTAATGTTTACATCAAGCAGGATTAAAAACCGTACTTTATAGTGGCTTTAATGAAAAGGGTATAGCAAATTCAATAACTAATTACTGTTTCATTTTATTTATTTATATTTTACAGGTCACTCAACAGGCAGACGCAGATACCCAATTACAAAATGACATAATAGAGGCTTATACTGTTTTACAAAATCTACAAAATGAGCAATAAATTTTTTATCTCTACAATGAAAAAATGGTTTAGATTAAATTGTAACTACAAGCAAAACAATCACGTTCAAGCTCAAATAATTCATAAAAAAAGTTATTTATTTAATTGTGATTATTTTAAAATTCAAATTAATGAGTAATAATTATTCATAAATTAACAATTGGCATGTGTCATTGGAATTTTCCTTAATAATAGAATTGAATGGAATCAGACCAAAATTTAACAATTTAGACGCAATTGAACGTCATTTACTACTATTGCCACTATAAGTTATGAATTGTAGTGATTTCTATTTATTTATGAATACCATAAAGTTAACTCGAATACGGAAATTCCAAGGAAGATGGATGCTTTTGAAATATGGGCATACAGAAAAACGTTCCGGATATAGTACACAAATCACCAAACTTACATCTCAGATACTTTTTAAATACAACAGAGGAACTAAACTGTTCGTGGAGGGTAGATCAAACCAGAAAAGTCATTGGTCATAGTTCACTCGAAGCTTGATTCACAATTATCCATTATCAAAGCAATTCTTTAGTAACTGTGTATAATTGCAAAAAATACCCCAACGATATTATTGTATATTATTTCTCTCTCGAGGTTATACAACAAAATTACAATATTTAAATGTGGACCTGAAATGTTACAAAAAAGGAAAAGAAAAATTGAATACAGAAAAATTGAAATTTGCGCATAAATTCTCACATAAGACGTGAGTATCACCGTTCCGGTTTCCAAAAAAAAAACGACGAAATGTTACGAATTGGTGATTATATATACAATCAAATAAGGTTTTTGCAATAAAAAAAAACTATGAATAGGCCATGAAATGTAATTGTGACTACAAAAACCTGTTTTGATTGTAAGTCAAACAACAATTCGTAGTTTTTTTTTGTTTCATTAATTTATATTTTGTTTCTGGTTGTTTATGTTTTTGGTCTTTTTTTTTAAACAAAAAAAGAAACATTTATTCGCAAATTTCTGTGTTTTTCTATGCTCAATTTTGCTTCTTCTTTTTCTTATAACAACTTCAAGCCTAAATTCAAATACATATTCTAATATTTTTTTGAGAGCATTAAAGAACACAGAACTTATTTAAAGTCTGCAAATTTAGATCTGGGTATTATTGCTTGCAAGACTATACAACCCATTCCTCTTTAATTAGACTGATTTAAATGTTGTTTTATGTAGCGCTTTTAGTAACAAATTCTTGGACCCTTGAAGTTGACAAAACATTTTCTATTAGATTACTCTTGGACCACTATGAATATTTCCGCGTCAGAGTGGTCCGATAACTTTGCGAGCCACAAGGCTATTCGGGATTCATTTCGCTCCGAATTTCATTATTTCCGATCGGGTTTGAGAGTTTAAGGGTCGGAATATTTATGTGCGTAGTTAATTCGATGTTGGAATTGGCATTCAACTTTAACTAGATTAGCCTTTGCCAGACTTGC